ACAACACCCCGTACATCACAAAGGAGGTAAAGGACTGGATCAACCGCAAGAGGCAACCATTCAAAAACAAGGAACAACAACAACTGAAATGTGTGCAAAAGGAGCTCAACCAAATGCTCAGAGAGACAAGGAAACAACACATGGAATCAATGGGAAAAAGGAGTTCCTTACAATGAACTCCAAAACAGTGTGGGAGTCGATGAGAACAATCACCAACATGAACCCTGCAAAAGAAATCCTTGCACACACCAGATGAGCTGACCAAAGCCATGTACATGACGTCTCTGTTGAGTGTGATAATGTGATTGGCTCCATTGTTATTGATGATTGTGTTCATAGGTTGGAAATCAACCTTATAGTTGTCACTAGAGTCTTCAAGCACACCTGTATGAATAAGGCAACAGGTCCCGATGGCAATCTATGCTTTTCTTCTAAAACATGTGCAGAGGAACTTACTCCGGCTTGGTGCCCCATCTTTCAGAGGTCCGTAGACTCCCACACTGTCCCATCTCTGTAGGAAAAGGCCATTATCACTCCAGTCCCCAAAAAGCCTTTTCCAAAATAAAATAATGACAATAGACCTGTTGTTCTGACCCCCATCGTAATGAAATGTTTTGAAAATGGTGTGCGAGCTCCGTTCAGATGTAAACCCTGTGTTAGATCCTTATCAATTTGCCTATAAGCAAAGTCGTGGGACTGATGATGCAATCAACACCATCGTGCATCTCATTGTTAAGCATCTGGAAAACCCTGAGGCCTATGCTAGACTGTTATTTATTGATTTAAGTTCAGCGTTTAACACGATACAGCCACATGTCCTACTCAGCCAGTTAAAGCAGATGGGTGTTAACCCCTGTACCATAAGGTGGTACCACTCATTCCTGACTAGCCGTACTCAGCAGGTTAGTGTTAACAGTACCCTCTCTGAGGCTAGAGACATTAGCACAGGGGCCCCAGCAGGGTTGTGTGAGTTCACCCATCTTATTCATACTGTACACAAATTAATGCACTAGCAGTAATCCTGATATATATTGTCAAGTTTTCTGATGATAACACCATCCTTGGTCTCATGTATAAAGATGCTGATACTACTGTGTACAGGTCAGAAATTCAAAGGTTTGTCAAGTGGTGTGATGAGCACCATTTTATCCTCAATGTAAAGAAAACGGAGGAGATGGTGTTTGACCCTAAATCTGTCGGCAACCATGTGCCTGTGGTTGTCCACAATGCTAACATAGCACAGCTTAGTTCGTACAAGTACCTGGGTGTAATGCTCCTGAGTAAAACGTACTCTGGCAATAGAGTTCTTTTTTCAGGGTTGTTTAGTGGTGATATTTAACTCTGCTTCATTGCGTTTCACTCCGTACAGTATTAATTGAAAATAACTTTTGTTACTCACTGCAGTGTTGTTCAGTATTCTAGAGTTAATTATTTAGATTAATGTTTACACTTAATATAATCGCAAGAGTTAATTCTCCTATGTAGTCTAACAACACTATTTTGGAGTTTATATGGTCCCATTTGAGGTATAAGGGTGTAAAGTCTCATTTACATATTTCTTAACATGTCATATTATGGTGGCTTGCAATGTGACATTCAATCTCTATTGGTATCCAATTAAGAGAGAGGATGTCCAGCAACTTTACATCACCAACAACTTACATTCAGAATGCATGTCAGAGCAGGGAGGAGGCTACTGTTGTTAGGTACTACCTACATCATATAAACTGAAACAGCCTTCTCAGTAACGGTTGTAATAAACCAAACCATTTACAGATTAGTTTAGGATAATGTATGTTACATATCATTGACTAGCATTAGATAAAAAACAATAAATGTACATGTGAAAAAACATATTGAAACAATTTTAAAAAATCAACCTGCAACATGTATGCTGAGAAATATGACAATGACGCCCCTCCCACATCTGCGGATGCTCCATAGTTTTAACTCCCTGTCTCTGGTTACTCTTAATGGAGTTAAAGATACTCAATCCCAATTAACTCCAGTTATCAGCACTAACTCCAGGGAGTGTATCACTCTGTTGAGGGTTAAGATAACTTCAGTAGTCAATTTAATTCTACATTTAAACTCTCCTTGATTTACTGTGTGTGTAGGTCTACTTGTACTTTGTGGACTTCTGGACTTTTGGATTGACGCTTTTGGCCCAAAACTACTCAAAAGTGCAATTTTGGTGACTTTGTGTGTGGGTGGTTTCTGAAAAGTGGACAGAGTTAACCAGTCTTGACAGAGTCCAGATATAATGGAGCGCCATTACCTCCGTGGATACAGGCCAGATTGTCCAAACCCAAATCAGCATTCTCCACTAAAAGCTCATCTTTGGTAATGAGTGGCTGTTTATCCCATGCCGAGTATTTGTGCGCTCGTGTGTGTGTGTTTGTGTGTGTGCGAGAGAGTGAGTCAGTGAGTGAGTGAGAACACCACAAAACACATTTTTTTTTGCTTTACCACTAATGAACACAGCGCAGAGATGTTGAGACAACCAGGAAAGAGCCAAATGGAAATGCAGACAAAGTGTATGAGGATGGTCACCAGGTTAATGTGAGTGGGCCTCTGTGGCAGACCGAGCCATGGAAGATATCTATAATTACATGCATTAGTCGCTCTACGTACCGCTGCTGGTTAAAGGCCCACTATTGCTCCAACAACCACTTATCAATCCTGGTTTCTTAGATAAAGAGATCAGAGTTGATAAACAGACTAAAGTACATCCAGCGAGGGCATTTGAGCTGTAAAGCCTTCAGCAGGCCAAGTTGGTGACATTGATGTGCAGCAACCTGATGCTTTTATCTACATCTGTTTGTCAGTGCGTTTATCATATCTTCTGGATCGGTGACATTTTCCACATTCGAACATCCAACCTGGTTCTAACAATGACAAGAATGCACTTATTGTTGGTCTCTGTTCCTTTCTGCTTTGACCACAAAAGTGTAGGAAAAAAGGAAACTGCAGTGTCTCCTTTTAAACTAGGCTCCAGTGAAGATGGGAGGCAAGGAAGGAGTGAGGGAAAGAGGGAGAGAACGAAGGAGGAGAGCAGTGTGTTCCAGGAACACCCTGCCCTCTCCACACACAGATCAACACGTTCATCTCTCCTCATCTAACCCCACTCCCTCCTTCACATCTTGTCTCCCTTTTTTTCTCTACAATTATGTTCCCTGTTCTGTTATTTTCCTCTTCTGCATCAAAGTGATAATCTGACACATTCCTCTGTCTTTCATTCCTCTGTTCCTCTTCTCCAGGGCACAGTATTGTCATTAGCACATTGAATAATAACAATGGGACCACATCCTCTCCTGCTGTACAGTATCAGACCCAGCTCTGTTCTCCTCAGGGTGCTAGAGTGTCTCTCCTCTTTCTTTGCCATGCGTCACCATCTCTACCTACCTGCACTGGTGGCCCACTGTGTCACCATCTCTCCCTACCTGCACTGGTGGCCCACTGTGTCACCGTCTTTGTCTACTTTCTTGCTGGTACTCTCTGTTCCAGACATAGTTCCAGCCCCCTGAGACCACTGCTGTAACTATTGCTCTGTGAAGGCACAACACGCTGGGCTATGCTGACGGCTATGCTGACTATTTTATTATATTGCATTATGTTGACCTTAAGCCTACTCATTCATTGTTTATGTGAATCTACAGCAGAGAGACTCCAAATGACACAGTGTTCCTGACCTGGAGAGAACACACACACGATGGAAAAGGCCCTGCTGTAGACGTGTTTGGCCCATTAAGAATGATAGTGTCTTCATGGTCTACCCGCTGCTAATGGTGTCTGGTGACATGCAGCACACTCTGCTCTGTTCTCCTATTACTCAGCATAATGAACGTAATGGCAGCCATTAACATTGCTTTAAAAGGAGTTCAGACAATCCTGGATGACAAACAACTTTAGTTCTAGTAGTTTGGATTGTGTGAGACAATCCATGAACAGTCTACACTACCGTCCTCATTTTGTAGGTTTTATATCATCATATTGAAAAAATAAGTTAAAAGAGTTCATGCTAATGTAGCTGGCTGAATGGTTATTGGGCTGAAGAGTCACAAAGCTGTGAGTCAGTCCATTGGGTTCACATTTTTACTAAGTCACAGTTCCAGACATAACATCGGCATGACTGACAAATCAAACACCAGAATGAAACTAAAATCACAGAAAACAATTTGAAAAATAATTCTAAATGATTGAAGATAAAACTAATTGACGTACCGAGCGGGGAGAGTAGAGGAGTATCCCATTTGAAGACGAGGGGTAACATGACATGGTGGTGACCCAGCACAAACACACACAGAAAAACACCTCAACCCTCCTCCTTCCACCCTCACTAGCATCCCTTGACATTCGTCATACACTGAGTCTGCACCCCACTTGGTCATCTTCTCAATTTCTCTGGAACACTTTTGATCTTTTCTATGGCTCCCACCTGTGGTCATTTATGAGAGGTGCAGGACTTTAGATGACAGCAATGGGAATAGACTGAGGCAGGATCAGAACTTACACACAGAAACAGTAAGCAGCCTCAAACGATAAAGGGTGAGGAGAGATAGCAGGCAGAGAGGCAATAGAGATAGGTCCATTTGAGAGTAATGATATCTGATGATCCCTGCACCAACTGTATCGTCTGCAGAGAAGATCCATTCATTCTTTAGGGAAATAGACTTCACTCAGTTCCAGTGTTGCTATGCTGCACAGACACTGTGCCCCATCAGCACTCATCCACTGAGCGTTACATCATCCGGATTATCTTCATGTATCATCCTGCCCACTATAAAAGTCACTCCAGAAATCCATTAAAGGTCAGTAGATCCCTTACAATGTATCTGCGCAGCACGTATTCACATCCTCCCGTAACTTTCTTCTGCCTCTTCAAGGTTCAGACAGGACAGAACAGCAGTAAGCCTCTCCTGGTAACATCCCTCTCACAGTGTAGAGTCCCTCGTCAGCTCCACTCACAGTCTAAAGGGAGAGTTTGACCTTGACCCTTAGCAGAGGTCAGAGACGTAGTCAAAGTCTTTGAAGCAGTCCTGGTCCTTGCGGGAGAGGGTGCGGCGTTCACGGGGTGGCGTGAGAGCGGGGGGCTCGGCGGTGAACTCCTCGTCAAAGTTGCTGACGTCCTCCCTCCCCCCGATGTTGGGGACAAACGGGGGCGGGAGCCGCCTCTGCAGCAGCGCTTCCCAGTCCACACCCTGAGAGGGGGAACAGAGAGACCGGATTGGTTCAAAGAATCCAGGTGAATTGAATCATCTATGCTTGTTGGGCAGCTCATGCAACTAAAAACAGCAACCCCTAACGTTATAGTACCAAATAGAGTTGGAGCAGATGCTGAAACTATTTAACATGCTCATTGATTACATAACAAGAATGTTACCTAATGACATGTGTGTCTGTGTCTGAGGGAGAGAGAGAGAGAGAGAGCAACTCACCCTGAAGAAAGGCTGTTTCTTGACGTCATCGGCATCTTTCTCACCAGATCCTAGGCGCCGCTCAGGGTTCCTCCTCAACAACTGGCAAAAGAAAACAACAAACACCTCAACCCAGACATAGCAACTCACAGCACAGACCAAACAATAGCTAGAAACACACACAGATGGCAAACAGCTGAAAATACATCAGAAACACTTTCACAGAAAACCCACTGACTGAAAACTAAAAGCAACATGGCTCCACCTTTACAGTGACCAGACTGACCACATCAATCAATGTGATTCTCTCTTGCTCCACTGGTGATTGGTGGGATGTGAGTGTTGGGGGAGGAGCTTACCCGTCTCATGATGCCGATGGCCTCTGTGGAGAGGAAGCGAGGGTAGCGCACCTCGTCATTCACTATGCTGTCAAACACCTCCTCTTCATCATCACCTGGGAATGGAGACTGACACACACATAGGTCACAGTGTCACGCTCACAGCCACCCATTTAACCTATTGTGGTGGCCGGGGAATGCCACTGTTTGGAGTGTCAGCCATGCCCCACAACCAGCATTTTTAGGCTGCAGCAAGCTTATGCTGTAGTGCTACGCCCCACACCTGAAGCCACTAAGCCTTGTTAGGCTGCAATACACCTGGGGCATACAGTGGGTAAAAAAAGTATTTAGTCAGCCACCAATTGTGCAAGTTCTCCCACTTAAAAAGATGAGAGAGGCCTGTAATTTTCATCATAGGTACACGTCAACTATGACAGACAAAATGAGAAAAAAAATCCAGAAAATCACATTGTAGGATTTTTAATGAATTTATTTGCAAATTATGGTGGAAAATAAGTATTTGGTCAATAACAAAAGTTTCTCAATACTTTGTTATATACCCTTTGTTGGCAATGACACAGGTCAAACGTTTTCTGTAAGTCTTCACAAGGTTTTCACACACTGTTGCTGGTATTTTGGCCCATTCCTCCATGCAGATCTCCTCTAGAGCAGTGATGTTTTGGGGCTGTCCCTGGGCAACACGGACTTTCAACTCCCTCCAAAGATGTTCTATGGGGTTGAGATCTGGAGACTGGCTAGGCCACTCCAGGACCTTGAAATGCTTCTTACAAAGCCACTCCTTCGTTGCCCGGGCGGTGTGTTTGGGATCATTGTCATGCTGAAAGACCCAGCCACGTTTCATCTTCAATACCCTTGCTGATGGAAGGAGGTTTTCACTCAAAATCTCACGATACATACCCCATTCATTCTTTCCTTTACACAGATCAGTCGTCCTGGTCCCTTTGTAGAAAAACAGCCCCAAAGCATGATGTTTCCACCCCCATGCTTCACAGTAGGTATGGTGTTCTTTGGATGCAACTCAGCATTCTTTGTCCTCCAAACACGACGAGTTGAGTTTTTACCAAAAAGTTCTATTTTGGTTTCATCTGACCATATGACATTCTCCCAATCCTCTTCTGGATCATCCAAATGCACTCTAGCAAACTTCAGACGGGCCTGGACATGTACTGGCTTAAGCAGGGGGACACGTCTGGCACTGCAGGATTTGAGTCCCTGGCGGCGTAGTGTGTTACTGATGGTAGGCTTTGTTACTTTGGTCCCAGCTCTCTGCAGGTCATTCACTAGGTCCCCCCGTGTGGTTCTGGGATTTTTGCTCACCGTTCTTGTGATCATTTTGACCCCACGGGGTGAGATCTTGCGTGGAGCCCCAGATCGAGGGAGATTATCAGTGGTCTTGTATGTCTTTCCATTTCCTAATAATTGCTCCCACAGTTGATTTCTTCAAACCAAGCTGCTTACCTATTGCAGATTCAGTCTTCCCAGCCTGGTGCAGGTCTACAATTTTGTTTCTGGTGTCCTTTGACAGCTCTTTGGTCTTGGCCATAGTGGAGTTTGGAGTGTGACTGTTTGAGGTTGTGGACAGGTGTCTTTTATACTGATAACAAGTTCAAACAGGTGCCATTAATACAGGTAACGAGTGGAGGACAGAGGAGCCTCTTAAAGAAGAAGTTACAGGTCTGTGAGAGCCAGAAATCGTGCTTGTTTGTAGGTGACCAAATACTTATTTTCCACCATAATTTGCAAATACATTTATTAAAAATCCTACAATGTGATTTTCTGGAAAAAAAATTCTCGATTTGTCTGTCATAGTTGACGTGTACCTATGATGAAAATTACAGGCCTCTCTCATCTTTTTAAGTGGGAGAACTTGCACAATTGGTGGCTGACTAAATACTTTTTTCCCCCACTGTATAAGGTGCTGGTTCAGTTCAGCACGAGAAGAGCTCTACAGACATTTGTTCGAAGCCCATGGACATTGTGAAGCTGGTAAACTGGGTAGTAGTCTAAGTTCAGTTAAGCTCTGTGTGGGAGTTTTTTAAAAACTTTTTTTGGGAGGGGGGGGGTTTCAGTTACAGTTTGAGAACAATCTTTGTGAACCTTTTATTTTGAATAAATATGCCAGCCTGGCTTAAGCTGTGCCCCTGCGTGTTGGACTTCTGTCATGGTTCCTCATCATTGACATCCTACCAGCCATGCCTAGTGACATATGGCTCAAACACACATCACTTTCTGTAATATAGACTAAAGTGCTGTATTACCATAAAGGCTTAAAGTATATATTACTGGCTTAAAGTATATATTATTTTAAAGGTGAGGGCTTAACCCATTAAAGGGATCCTCCGGTACTTTTGTATACTTTTTAGCCAGTAGTTCTGAAAGTAGCGTCCAAAAGTGGTCCCCGAAAACTGCATACTACGTCATTGATCTCTCTCTCGCTCTGCTGTGGGTGCATCATGTCCATCTTGCTAGCTGTCACTCATATGGCGAGGAGCTGAAGCTCATTGGTTGAACTCGAATTGCTAGGGGGCTGGCCCACGTGAGGGAAAATGGTGCAGCACAGCTTCCAGAAAAACTGTTGCTTTAAACTAGGGATTTTGTGGCTAATTGAGGTAAGACAGTAATTCTGCAAATTAATTATGTATGAACTACACATTGACACATCTAGCCCAAATACTTAAGTAGTCGCCAAAGTTACGGAGCATGTCTAAATAATATGGCTAAATATGTATGGAGTCATATTTATATAATTCTCTGAAGTGGTTTTTAGAGTCAAGTCTCTTACCTCTCCCACCAGCATCTCATACACCAGTACTCCCAGGCCCCACCAGTCCAACTGCCCTGGTGTAGGAGGTGTCTGTCAGAACCTCTGGAGCCAGGAACTCAGGAGTACCACAGAACGTACTGGTCCTGTCCCCATAGCCCATCCCTGGGGAGGTAGAGCGAGATCAGGAATGAGAAGAAGGGAAGGAAAGAGAAGCAGTGAGAGAGAGGTTGTTGTGAGAGAAAAACAGAGAGAGGAAGGAGAGAGAGAGAGACCAAACTGAGTCAGAAATATCGAAAAACATGAGCACAGTAGCAAAAAGAGGCTTCAATAAAAAAAGTACTCCAAACTACAACCGCTATGATCTTCCATCCTTACAGAGCTCTGGAGACATGATGAATAAGTTATAGAGAACATACCCTCTTTACAGAGCCCGAAGTCTGCTATCTTCACATAGCCCTGTGTATCCAGCAACAAGTTATCGAGTTTAAGGTCCCTGAGGAGGAGGGATGAAGATTCATTCAAAATGGATGAGTACTCTGAGGATGAAGGGGTAGGAGGATGAGAGGGTATCTGTCTTTCATGTGTTCTGTGTTTCATGTCTACCCAGAGTACTCACCGGTACACAATCTTGTGGTCATGAAGAAACTGCAGGCCCAAAACCACACAGGCTGCGTAGAACCTGCAGGACAGACAGACAAACAGACAGACGCACACACAATAGTCAGGACACACACACACACACGACAGTAACAGCAGACTGTGGGTGGATATGAGTACGTATACAGTATACAACCATATGAACACAAATACACATAACTCAAAGCATGCCTGCTCCTCCCCCATGTTCCGTTACACATACAGTAGAACACAGTACACACACAAATACACACAAAAACACAGCGGTACCCACACGGCTCGGGGCTCTGTAAAGACGTCTGCGTGGATGTGCATCATGAGGTCGCCCCCAGCCGTGTACTCCATGACGAAGCACACGTGTTCTGGGGTCTGGAAACATGCAAACAGGTTGACCAGGAAGGGGTGGTGGGAGCTGTTCACCGTCTCAAAAATACGCTTCTCACACATCAGACTGAGGAGAGGAGAAGGAGAGAATGATGGACTCAGAAGACAACAGGAAAGAGAGACAATTGTGTAATGTCAAGTACAGCATGTAAACAGTGTATATGTTTAACATGGTTTGTTGGTGATCACTTTTGTGTTGACAATAATTTTGTGGCATATAATCCAGTCGTAGTATTTTCACCATGATGGAGGTCATATAATGTCTGAGAGAGGCATGATATAGTAGGCCTGTGTTGCCTGTGTTCTGTCTTGGCCTGTGTTGCATTCTAGTGTTGATCCTTACCTGTCCACTTCGTCCCGCGCCACAATGTCTCCCTTCTTCAGGGCTTTGATAGCGTACACACTGCCTGTCCTCTTGTACTCTGACAACAACACCTGGAAAACATCTAAATCTCTAAATCCTCTGGATAGAGAACGTCCTAACACAGGGAGGATATTTAAGATGTGAGGACACATACCTTGCCAAAGTGTCCCCTGCCCAGCACAGCGATCAGCTTGAAGTCCTCCAGACACAGAGGGCCTTTGCTCTGTCTAATATTAGGACACAAAGAAAATAATAATGATCAATCACTGAAATAGCCTTTACTCATGTTGAATGGTCATTTGCTAGTTGAAGGAATAGGATGCAGTATTATCTGATGTTTTGTGCCTACCTAGCACTTCTATAGAAAGCATGTTGCGGTGATATATGTCTGCCTGGCTACAGTAACATGTGTTATGGAGGAGGTGAGGTCATGTTGCTTGCAACGCCAGGGTTGTGGGTTCGTTTCCCACGGGGGGCCAGTATGAAAAATGTATGCACTCACTAACTGTAAGTCGCTCTGGATAAGAGCGTCTGCTAAATGACTAAAATGTAAATGTAAATGTGGCCATATTGTGAGTGGGTGTGTTTCTCCAGCATCATACTGTGGGGGCCATATTGTGAGAGGATGTACTCAGGTGTGTGTGTGAGGACACACTGGGCCAACTCTGCATGGTGCTGTACCTGCGCAGGGAACTCGTGGATAGGGTTCTGGTTGGCCGCTCTTGGGCAAGGTCCAGAGGGGAGAAGGGCTCGATCACAGGCTGTTCCAGAGAGTGAGAGAAAAAGAGAGACAGAGAGAGAGAGAGATATAAAGAGGCGAGAGGGATAGATAGAGAGAATGAGAGAGGGAGAAGGAAAATTAGACAGACAGACAGACAGGCCAAAAGTAATTCTGACCCTCCTCATTATTAGTAGCCAGTTCCCTGCTGGCTGGCTGGCTGCTCAATCCCCTCCTCCTCTCCTCTCTTCCTCGTTCCCTCGTTACTGTTAATTAGTTATCTAAAAAACCAGAGTAATTAATCCAGTAATCCCCCAGCCCCGCTGACCACACCATCTGTTACCCAGGCCTTCCCCCTCTGCATCTCTCTACCTCTCCCTCCCTCACTCCCTCTGTCCCTCTCTCTCTGCCCTCTCATGCCAATCGTGTTTTACACACTGGGAATCTAACACAGATTGGGCTTTGATCGAATTAAAGCTCCCTCGATCCAATTTGGTCTAATTAGTGTGGATTTCTCTCTTTCCCTTCTTATTGTTCCCTCTCTCCTCTCCTCCCTCCCAGGCCCTGCTCTGTCTAGCTCCAGATTCATCCTAGGCTAATAGTCCAATATGTCTGGACCACTGTTTTCTAGCCAAAGGCTGTCTGGAGGGAATGGCCAAAGGGAATGTGATACTACAGAGATGGCTATCACTCCATTGCTGCATCCTCCCATCCCTCCCTCATCCCTCTCTTCATCCCTCCCTTCTCTTCTTCTCACCAGGTGAGGTGTGTCAACAACGTCTCCCCTGATGTCAGGCCTCGGAGGAGAGTCGCTCCCCAGAGTCAGCTTCTCCACTGAGATCTCCCTGCGACACACACAGAAATAGCAGTCAACAGTTTCCCCATGTACAGTATATGTTGTACTTGCTGTCTGAAGTATTGTGTACAGTACTGAGAGTGCGCCTTACCCAGAGTGTGAGCGTGAGTGTGTGTGTGGGGTGTAGCTGGGAATGTTGTTTCCAGAAGGGATGGCGTTCCTCAGTAGGCGGACCCAGGTGGCGATGTCAACGTTCATCTGACGAGCACGCAGGAACGCTTTACCTGTAACATACCCAACACACACATAGCAGTAACCGCAACACACACACACAACATAAACACAAGGCAATATGATATACTGATAAACACAAATCCCCCTGAAATGCAATATATCCTGTTCATGCAGCAGCTTTTAACATGGTTTACTCAATCCATTAGGATTGGCCAGTCCTGATGCACTGAAGAAGTTTCAACCCTGATGCACTCAGGTTGTCATACTCCAAAGTATTAAAGCCACCTCAACCCATCAGATGAATCTACAGCACTGCCGATTCCAACACTAGATGGCAATACAGAGCACGGAGAGGTACAAAGTGGGTTCTGGGTGGAGGTTGCCTGTAGTCACAGATCTAGGACCTCCCCCAATCCTAATGTGACCAATTAGGGGTGAAACACTAAACTGACTGTAGATCAGTGTCTAAGGGCAACTCCATGCTACTCAGTGGGGTGTCAGTCAGATGATGCAGGTGTGAGCCCTATAGGGATACTAGGATATATGGAGCCAGGCTTGGCAGCTGCTGACAACATCCAGAACAAGATGGGGCTTTATCTAAGACGTTACACACACTAACACAACACACTGTTCTGAGAATAGCTTCTCTTACCATGCTGTTTGGAGAAAACCTTTTGTCTCTGCAGTCTTGGGCCTCTCTCTATGACTGGGTTGAAGAAAATTACCTGAAATAGACACACATCAGTGGAGACTCCTCAGAGGAGGAAGGGGAGGACCATCCTCCTCAGTGAATTTCATAAAAATAAACTGAACTGACATGTTGTCCACCCAATCAAAGGATCAGATAATTAATCTAGTACTGAAAGCTACAGCTAGCTAGCACTGCAGTGCATAACATGTGGTGAGTAGTTGACTCAAAGAGGGAGAAAGACAATAGTTGAACAGTTTTGAACAAATTCATTTCTTCAAAAATGAAGAAGCAAGAGAGAGAGAGATATTTTGTATTTTTTTCACTTTCACTTACTTAGCTAGCCTACTTAAACACCTGGCTCAAACAGAGAGCGATGCTATGTTAGCTAGCTGGCTATGGCAATCCAAACACTGGAACTCTTCTAGGTCAAGGTAAGCTTTTGGTTTATTAATTTACTGCCACCGGGGCCCACTGGTGTAACTGCTAAACTGCTTGCTGACTACAGTGTACTGCATGATTGTAGTGCCTTTACTAACGCATTAGTTTCAGTAGCTATGTTGACTATGACGTTAGCTAATAATGGTGACAATGATGTAGGCTGTGTGTAGGATAAACATACCTGAATTTGTCCAATTGAAACTCTCGTTTGCAACTGTTGGACTAATAATTACACCCTCGATCAGCTAGATGCAGGCAAGAGTGTGCAAGACGGTATTGAATGTGTCATTGTCTGTCACCTTGATTACTCAAATTTCTCTCGACCTGTGCACCTACGTTGTAAACTTTCATTCATAGGCTAGGTTGTAGAAACCTCATGATGGGTATAGGGAAAATTTGAGTATCATGTAGTAGCCTAAACCTATCAATGTTACATTGAGCTGGGTGAATGGAATATGAATGACAGTCATCCAATATGCTGTAATAGAAATAAGGCCATGCTCATAAAAAAAATAATCGTCCTCCCTCATCTTAAATAGCACCGACCACCACTGACACACATAGTGTAGTTCAGTATTGAGCAGGGATGTATGTGTTGGTGCATGTGTGTGCATGTCTCTGTATGCGTATTCAGGGCAGGGTGTGTGTACCTCTGCCAGCAGCAGGCCCTGAGGCTCTAGCTCCAGCTGAACTTTGTGTCTCTGGTTGTCCAGGAAGTCCTCCAGCTTCAGGTACTTGAGAGCACACAGGGAGCGGTAGTCCCTCCAGTACACTGCTATCTCCATCTCCCTGGACTGAGGCGAAACACGGGTCAACACACATACTGTTTCAACCACAGGTTCTCTCTCTCTCACACTCTCACACTCTCACACTCTCTCTCACTCTCTCTCACTCTCTCTCACTCTCTCTCCGCTCATGCCTCACTCTCTCTCACTCCTCCTCACTCTCTCTCTCACTCTCTCTCTCACTCTCTCTCTCTCTCTCTCTCACACTCTCTCTCTCTCTCTCTCTCTCTCTCTCTCTCTTACTCTCTTACTCTCTCTAGTTCTACAGTGAAGGTCTGGTCCCAGGCCTGCTCTCCCACTGTCTTCCAGCACGTCTGTCCCACCATTGTGTTCTCCAGCTTCAACACCGCACTCACCTCCGCTGTACAACACAATAACACATGTTTAAAAACTCACTACACAACACAAATGGACAGATATGTGACCCCACACACTTACAGGAGAGTTCGTCGGTCTTGCTGGGGATCCTGAGGCTCAAGCTGCTGGTGCTGCGGCTGTAGAGACCACTGAGTTTGAAGGAGCGTCCATCACCTGGGATGTAGCATGGCAAAACAACCGGGGTTCCTCTACTGCGCCCCGGGACCACATCCAACACCCCCACACAGCCCAGCAGACGCACCTGCAGGGTACCTAGGAGAGAGAGAGATGTTTGAGTAGAAGTGAGAGTATCATACCTGCTTCAAACGGTTTATAAATTCAGACACTGGATATGTGGGAGATATTCAATTGAATCCATGAGTTTCTGATGCGTTAGAACCTTCAGCGAGGTATAGACAGAGGGGTAGTGAGAGACTAGAGAGAGGCTGTAAGAGTCAGTGATAGAGCATAGAGAGGCTGTAAGAGTCAGTGATAGACTATGAGTGTATGTACCAGTGAGTGGGGAGGGCTTGCAGAGGGTGCTGTACTGGTTGTGTACATAGGGGGTTCCGTGTCTGGAGCTGAAGGCTGAGGAGGAGGCCAGCACCAGCTCCTCCTTGATGAGGCAGGCCTTGGGGTGGTCCTCCGTCAGTTCCAGCAGACGCTGCTCCAGAGAGCCTCTCAGCAGGTCACAGCGCTGGGACGACTCACTCAGACCACACTGGGCCTGGGGGGAGAGAGGAGAGAGGGGGGTTACAATGGTGTGTGTGTTTGTGTGTGTGTGTGTGTGTATTTAAATGTGCTCTAAATGGTGTGTTTTTTGTGTGTTTTTGTGTATGTGTGTGTGTATATGTGTGCATTAAGTGTGCGTTCATGTGTGAGATCCATACAGTCGTCCTGTGTGTGAACTCTGACCTCTGACATGGCCTTCTTGTCCTGGACCTTCCCTGCTCCCAGCAGCCTCAGCATGTTCTTGGCTCCCTCAGCCATGGCGTGCTCCACACGGTAATGATGCCACAGCTCCTCCACACGCAGCTCCACCCCACACGTGTCTGGCTTACCTGGGGGGGGGGGGGAGAGAGCGATAACAAACCATTTACTGTATGGCCAGCTGATTAAAAAAAAACAAAAAATGCATACTGTAAACAATACTCAGTAAGGGTAATGTAATAATATAATAATCATATAATATGATCAAGTAAAACATGTGGGGGAAATTAATCGAACTCTGCAACTTTAAACCAGTATGTATATAGTTATCTTTCATAATATGATAAAGTAATCAGTACTGCAAATCAAAATCAAGATAATGTGAGGTTTTGATGGGTTTGTGTGCATCTGTGTGTGTCCTAAATTAGGGATGGTTCATGACTCATGAGGCTAAATGCAGCTCTGATCTATTCTTAATCCAAAGAAGGGAGGAAGGTAGAGAGAAGAAGGTAGGGAGAGGGAAATAGACACAGCGATCCATTAACGATATGGGCCTAAATCTGTCTCTTTGCTTCCTGTGCTTTTCCCATCTTCTCACTCTCTTTCTCGTTCTCTCTCCCCGCTTTCCATATCTTACTATTGGTTTCCTCATCTTTCTCTCTCTCCCTCTTTCCCTCTGTCTCTAACCTTGGGTAAATGAAGCAGGATTTTTTGCTGTTGGGCAACATCATGGGGATGCAGGAACATCAAAAAGGCCTTAACCTGCACTCTGTGTGGAAGTGAGCCTGAGTGTGTGTGTGTGTGTGTGTGTGTGTGTGTGTGTGTGTGAGTGGTGTATGGAGTGGAGTGGACTGTAATGCAAAACTGTGTGTGAGTGGAGTAGGTTATAATAATGACCACTCTGCACTTCTGAGGAGGGCATTGATCTGTTACCCACACTTCATCAAATATTTAACGATCGATGTACAGATTAGATCAGACAGACACAGAGGGATGGAGAGACAGACAGTCAGACAGGTAGATGGACAGACAAGCAGGCAGGCAGGCAGGCAGGCAGGCAGAGACAGACAGACAGTTAAAAAGACAGATACCCTGGTTATCTTCAGTTTGCTCAGTGGCCTGCATGGCCTTGCGGATCTGCATGCGGATGATGTCAATCTTGGTCTTGCTGTCCTGCAGCATCTGCTGGGCTGTCTGATGCATCTTCTTGTCCTACAAGGGACACCGTACAGTGAGGACATTGGAATAGCAGACAGCTCACAAATACACAACCCTGCTAACCTTTACTACTCAGAGAATAATCAGGGTACAGGCTGGGAGAACATCTGACTAGAGACATGAACTCAAAGGAGTGAGAAAGAGAGATTGTGAAGGGGCTGGCTGTATTGTAGAGAGGGTACAGTAGATGTATATATTAGAGGGGTTAGGTGGTCCAGTCAGGTCCAGTACCTTGGTGACTCCATTGGCATAGATGGGGATCATGTTCTCTGCTCCCTGTTTGCACTTGAGCTCGATGTTGAGCTGGCGCTCCAGAGCCGTGATCCGGTCCTGATTGGCCGAGCGGCTGCGTGCCCCGGGAGACTTGGGGGCATCTGAGGGTCAAAGGTCATGGTATTAACTGACAGTTATTATAATTATTAACAATGGCCAACATGTTTCTACATTACAATTTTTGGTTGAATCCATCCAATGGTATAAGGCTACGCTCCATTCGTTTCATAGTTCCATCCCCGTCAGTGATACCTGTGTTGTTGTCGTCCCCTCCTTTGACCACGATGTGAGCGTCCAGCTCCTGTAACTGAGTGTGCAGGCTGTCCAGTCTGCGGTTGGAGCTGCGGAGCTGGCTGTCCACCTGCTGGGCATTCTTCTTGTCTGTGGTGGCTCTCCTCAGGTTCTCTGCCCCCTCCTTGATCTTCAGCTCCTTCCTGATCCAGTCAAATCACAAGGACTTTTCATAAGTAGTAGTATCACACAATGAGTAGCTAATCAATACATCACAAAAATGATTGAATAGTAAATTAGTAATGCTGACCTGATCTCCCGGCGGATGCGATCCCTCTCTTCATCCAGGTGCTGCTGAATGCTGGAGTCAGAGAAGTCTGAGCTCTGGTCCAGACCCAGCTGCTCCAGCACTGACAGCCCACCTGGGTCACTCTGACAGGGGGAGAGGAAGAGGAGGAGAGGGGGAGGGAGAATGGATAATAGGTTAGCATTGGTCAAATACATTGCGACATGTATTGTGCCAAGATGACATTGCGGTGATAGCAGAGAGACAATAACCAAAGGTCTGCCGTATTTCCAATTCGATGCAAAACCACTCTCTGGGAAAAGGGCCTAATTAGGGACTAGGTTGTGTTCACCTTTGACCCCAGATGCCTCCCACACAGACCTGTAGGTCAGAGGGACTAACTGAGCAGCGCTAAGCTGGCAGCAAACATTAGGAGAGAGAGGAGCATTCATCTGTACATGGAAAAGGAAGAGAGCGAGAGAGAGAGAGAGACAGAGCAGGCTAACGCGTTTCCAATTGGTCCCAGAGGCAAGTGCCCAAACCAAAGAGCCCAACATTTCAGCTCACATCCTGTGTGACTGCAATGCAGCAAAGAGTAAAAGTACTGTAGATCCATGGCTAGAGTAGATATAACAGGCCAAGACAGCAGCAGAAAGAGACAAACTGAGGGAGACACAGGGAGAGAGAGGCTGTGACTTAAAAAGGAGTTGTGACAGAGAGAAGAGCAGTCAGTGAGTTGAGCGGTTCCCTTCAGAGAGCTGAGTCTCCAAGAGCAGCAGAGTGAGACTGAGACGTTAAGTGAGTCAAGGCCTGAGCGCTCACGTCCCCTCCTGATGGTAACCAGATCAGAGCAGCATTAATAGAGTCTACAATCTATCAGGGCTTGTTCCTGCTCAGAGCTACTGATACACACAGACACGATGTCAGCACGCCAGCTCTCAGCCAGCCACACAGACAGATACAGCACACAAACACACATGGCAGTGTGATAGGCATTAGGCAAAAATACAGACATACATGCATGCAACGGCATTGCATGCATTTAAACACACTTGCATGCATGCACTCACATACACACACACACACAAAACCCTGCATGCAACACTATCAGAGTAAATCCCCAACAACAGACATTAGCAACAATCAAACAGAGCCCAGATCCTACAACATGGAGACAGACAGACAGACAGACAGACAGACCAGTCCCTCCCTTCACATAACGACTGACTGACTGCTGTACGCCACTCAGAGACCCAGCCCTGGCTCCAGCCTGCAGATCTGATTACAGCAGTGTCCCTATTGGCCTGTTCAGCACCACGCCAGGCAGAACAGAGCAGAGCCCGGCTCCTACCAGGCAGACTCTCATTAGAACCATAATCCATCTGCAATGCAATATAGCAGGCTGCAGGCTGCAGCCAAGCCAGCCCTCATGGCCAAGCCCAGCTATGGGGCTTTCGAGGGCTACTTACACAGGCTATTACACAGGAAACACTGCACAACAACAGTGCAGAGTAGTAATGATAATCTGGGAATATTTCACATAGCGGACCTGATCACCTAATGTTGTGTCAAATTGCTCACAGAAATGTTTGGCTATTTGTTGTGAAGGGACACAGAGGTAGATATAAAGCGGAAATAGTACTGTAGGTATCAACGCGATCACAAGTTGTGGGCCAAATGGAGCATGGTGCTACTGTCGTAACAACACCAAGGCTATAGGTTCATTATGCTCCCAGCCCTGTCCTTCTCTGCACTAAACTCATCTAGAAATGGAGGTAGAGAACATACAATGAGAGAGAAAGACGAGGGAGGAATAGAGAGACTTAGGACTAAGACAGGAAGAACACCCACTTGTTGAGCAGAACTGAGACACACATACAACACACTAGTTTGACAGACACACTCGTCTTAAAATGAACAGCCACTAATACTGAGGCAGGAGGTGAGCAACAGTGGCACAGAGGAGAGAAGAATAGCTGAGAGGCAACGACATAAGAGGAAAGAGGAAAGGGCCGGACCATTAACGATGTGACTCACTACTATACATTTATAGCCATTTAGCAATGCCCTCCAGTGGAACAATACAGAGCAATTAAATAGAGGCAGTTCTCCACTCAGATGGGGCTGAAAACAATGCGACAATACTAAAAGCAGCTCCGACATGAGTCATCAGAAATGGCATGATTTGAGAAGGAAGTGAACATGAAGCAGAAAGCGGAGAGGAAACTCACAAACACACTGTAGTGTGGAAGGCAGCCATGTTGTATGGTGCCCAGACAGAGTGTGCCTACCGAAGACTCGGCGTCCCCCTGGTCCTGTTCAGTGTGAGTGGGGTGGTCTGCAGCAGTGTGCTCCCTTTGGCAGTCCGCCAAAGCTCCCTCGCTGGCCATGGCCCACCCTGGCTCTCTCTGTGTTGCCCAACCCCTCCCCTCTGCCCCGTTATACACTCTCACAACTGAACCGCCACTCAAAGTACAGAGAGCTATTCCTGCCTCCTCAAATCCGGGATGTGCTTCCTTCCCGCCAGGAATCAAAAGAGACTCAATCCGAAGTGAGTGAGCGAGAAAGAGGTAGGAAGAGAGAGAGCGACACAGCCCCAGCCCCACCCCACTGCTTCCTGTTCTGCTCTCTAGCCTAGAGAGAGACTAACAGTAACACTACAGAAACACACACACACAGGAGAGTGGTGTGGTTTTGTAAGCGAGTGAGCAATGCCACTTTGCTTCCTGCTGTTGGCTGCTCTTAGCATAGCGACAGGCTGCTGTGATAGACACTGATCACATCAAACACACTGCCAGACACTGTGTGTGTTTCAAGCTTTATTAGTCGTATGTACGGGATACACATGGTATACACCGTCCAACGAAATGCTTACTTGCAGGTTCCTTATCGACAATGCAACAACAATAAGAAATAATAAAATATAAGAATATGAACATAAAGTAAATGGCTCAGTAGAATATAATCAACATTTTAGCATAAGTATAATACAGGAAAGTACAATTTATAGTCCAATATTTACACCTGTATTGGGGAAGGGGGGATTGGGGGGCAAGTGTTTAAATTGTGCAGTATTTGGCAATCATAACAAGAGTCTGGTAGCAGCAGTTGTGACGTGTGTGTAGCATGAATGATGTTCTTACTGTGGAATGCAGTGTTTGGTTTTCGCCAGGCATAACGGGGACCCATCTCGTCCAAAAAGTTGACTTAAGTTTGCCAAAAAGCACCTGGATGATCATCAAGACTCTTGGAAGAACGTTCTATGGACAGATGATTCAAAAGTATAACTTTTTGGACGACATGGTTCCAGTAATGCCTGGCGAAAACCAAACTCTGCATTCCACAGTAAGAACATCATACCAAAGGTCAAGCATGGTGGTGGTGGTGTGATGGTTTGGGGATGCTTTGCTGCCTCAGGACTTGGACGACTTGCCTTAATAGAAGGAACCATGAATTCTGCTCTGTATCAACGAATTCTACAGGAGAATGTCAGACCATCCGTCTGTGAGCTGAAGCTGAAGTGCAGCTGGGTCATGCAGCAAGACAATGATCCAAAACACACAATCAAGTCTACATGAAAATTGCTAAAAAGCAACAAATTGGAAGTTTTGGAATAGCCTAGTCAAAGTCCAGACCTAATCCCAATTGAGATGTTGTGGCAGGACTTGAAACGAGTAGTTCATGCTTGAAAACCCACACATCACTGAGTTAAAGCAGTTCTGCATGGAAGAGTGGGCCAAAATTCCTCCACAGCGACGTGAGAGACTGATCAACAACCACAGGAAGCATTTGGTTGGAGTCATTGCAGCTAAAGGTGGCACAACCAGTTATTGAGTGTAAGGGGGCAATTACTTTTTCACACAGGGGAATTGGGTGTTGCATAACTTTGTTTATGAAATAAATATGTAATTGTTGTGTTATTTGTTCACTTATGTTCCCTTTATCTAATATTAGGTTTTGGTTGAAGATCTGATAACATTCAGTATCACAAATATGCAAAAGTAGAGAAAATTAGAAAGGGGGCAAATACTTTTTCATAGCACTGTATATGTGTGTGAGTGCATGTGTGCTAAGGTGTGGAGAATCAGAGCAAGTGGTCAGTCCAGTTCAAGTGTTTAGCAGTCTGATGGCTTTTGGATAGAAACTGTCTCTGAGCCTGTTGGTATCAGACATCATGCTCCGATACCGTCTGTCCGACTGTAAGGGAGTGAACAGCTCGTGGCTGGGGTGTGTTGGGTCCTTGATGATGCTGCGGGCCTTCCTCAGGCACCGTTTCAAGTAGATGTCCTGGATGGGTGGGAGCACAGTGATGTACTCTGCCATCTTCACCACCCACTAAAGGGCCTTGCAGTTGTGGGCGGAGCGATTCACGTACCAGGCCGTGATGCAACCGGTGTGTGTGTGTTAATTTGGGGGAGAGGTGAGAGGCACAGGAGGATGTAGAGAGCACAGCTGAGTGAAGACGGTCAAAGGCCAAGATATCACAACCAGGAAACCACAAAAAGCTTTCAAATCAGTCACTGAAAAAGCAGTCATACATAGTTAAATACACCTAATAATAAAAGCTAAGGGAATCAATAACTATTCTTGTCTTTTGTCCTAAAACAGGGAAACAGCGAAGCGCAGCAGTCATATGATCATGTTACAACAGAAACATGTTGTCTATAAATAACATCAGGCCACATGGAGAAGAACACCCATGGAGAGGAACAGAGGCACAGCTGCTTCACAGAACAGGGAACCGGTAGTGGAACTGAACTGTGTCAGAGGAGGACAGGCTTTGTATCATGAGAGTGAGAGGAAGGGAGGATTAGGGTTGCAAAAGTCGTGGAACTTTCAATAAATTCCCTGGTGTTCCCGAAATCCCGGTTGGAGGATTCCTGGAATCAGGAGGGAATAAGCAGGAAATCGTAATCCTCCAAACAGGATTTCTGGAAAACCAGTTCCCGGAATTTTGCAACCCTAGGGAGTAAGGCTGGGCAATATGGGCTAAAAAACATATCTAGATTTTTTTCAAACTGAGGGGCGTTTCACAATATATATCGAAATTGTTTTTATGTTGTCTCTAAATAAGCTTTGTTGTACAATTAAAGGTAAAATAAACTACATTTCAAACAGTCAGCAATAATCAAATGAATTCAGGGCTGTGAAATTAGGCTAAATATAAGCCCCACTAATAATGTAATTATTTTATCAAAAAATAATGACTGATCTGGCTTTTCAGTCGGTCTATGAAAATGGCCTTTTTGTAAAAAATGTAACCAGAACCATGCATAATGCACATTCGCTAATAATGACTCACTTCTTGTAGCAGACATTAGAGAAAATGAACACAGGACTCATAAACAATCTCTCAAGCACAAGCCCACGTGCTAGTGAGTAGCCAGCTAATCTTTATATTTCATGTTTAGCCAACTTGGATCTATTTGCCAGCTAACAAGGCAGAACAGTTGAATTGTTATGAACACACCCTTCTGTCCAACTCCAACTGTTTGAACAGCATGCTAGCCTGTCCACTTTGTTCAGATGTTGAAATCAAGTGGCCTACCTTATTTTTCAGATTGAGAACAAGTTGCTAATTGCTTATATAATTGTGTTTTATGATTATTGCACATTTATAAAACACAGACTAGACTGCTAGTATAACAGTCTTTGGCTAAAATGCTGCTAGTGGTACGTGGTACTGCAATGCTGCGTGTGAAAAACTGAGCATGAATTTTCCAGAATCAATGTTACTCCTGTTTTAGTAGTGTCTGCTCTGTGCGCAATTTGAGTAGTTGAGACATAAAAATTGTATCGTTAAAGGTTAACTTCTCCTCTATTACAATAAAATAATGTCTCAATGTGTCCATATGGCCGATTCTGTTGGACCAAACCTCAAATACAAATAGTGAGTTGAAACCGCTTGTCAGAGAGGAAGAAGTGATCTTTCAACTTTATTGGTGTGAGTGGCAGGGGGAGGGGCTTGGTGTGTGTGTGTAAACAGAGAGGAAGACGTGAAGCGAGAGGTTTCACTCTCGCCAAAATCTGTCCAAAATAAGCCCAATGCATGTAAATGGCAAGGTGCACACAGCACAGAAGAAGACAAGACCAAAAACACAACATGAGAACAAGCGGACATAAACGCTCATAAAAATGAAAAATACAAAAAAACTTGATTCTTGAGATACAGGCATTTGGAATATCGTGCAAAAACATACATTAGAATGAATCAAATTAATTGTATATATCGCCCAGCCCTACTAGAGAGGATGAATAACCATAACAAACAGGTAAAGTTTATAGACAAACAGCAGTGAGAGCAGTGACCCAGCAGAACAGCCAGAGCGTCCATGTTGCCTCCAGCCTCTTCCTGTCAGTGACTGATTCAGTGAGGTTGTGTCAGTCTGAAGCCCTGACTGAGGCAACCCTAGGTCACCTTCAGAATGGCTCACGGCCATGTCAGACCAGGCACACACTGTCAAAACACTTTCTCTCTCATAAACACACAGATGTACACACACATACAGGCAGGCACACACCCCCTTGACACACACGACAGCCTACTCAGTAACAGGGCAAATGCTGCCCATTACCACAGAGGAAGTGAAAGTATCACATAGAATGACTTCCTATAGAGAGGTCATGTATGTATGTATGTATGTATGTATGCATGTATGTATGTGACATACAACACATCATACGGCCATAGAGAGAAAGAAACAAGAGAATGGGAGTCACCCTCAATCCTCTATCCACCCCCCACTCTCGCTCCCTCTTCTCTCTCACCCTCTTCCTCTCTCCCGTCATCCCTCAGTCAGTTTATCTGCCATGCTGTGGCTGAGCCCAGCCTCGGCGTTGTGTGGAGTAGCTCCTCTCAGCTCGATGCAGCCATCCCTTTGATGAAGTTAATGGTCTGCCGGCTCGCCTCCCCTGCCTCTATAAATAAACATAAAGCCCATCTCATTGGGGCTGACTTTAAGGGAAGCACTCGTATATCTGTGCCACTTCCCTCCCAACTCACTCCCTCACACCTGTGATGCTTGGTGATGTATAAGCAAATATCAGTAATGATAATGACAGGGAAATGAGAAAGCATAGTGCTGCTGCTTAATTGACAGGCTATGAGGCACTAATGTATAAGTCATTATCATTTAATAACAATGTCCTTTCCAGCTCAGTCATGTGTGCTCTGATGGGATATTTTTTTGGAAGAGAAATGAGGGATGGGGGAACTGCTGGGGGATTGGCAGTTCCAGGAACAAGCTGAAGGATGATGATGATGAAATGTTTTGGAGTTGAGGTCATGGATTAAACCAGAAGCAATGTGAAGCTACTGTGTGGGAGTGGATGTGCAGGTAGGTGACAGACAGTGGCCCTGTAGATGATCCATCAAGGTCTTCCTAGAGAAAGCTGTTAAAAGCACAGAGGTGTGCCACAAGGTCAGGTGTGCTGATAGTGGTTGCCGCTGAAGGAGCGA